GGCATGGTGCCCAGCGTGGGTCAGGTGTCCTTCCCCGAAACAGAGGAGCAGGGCGCTATTGGACGAAGACCCTTCAGCCAAGGTCTCCAGCAGCAGATGGACCATGTGAGTGGAGAGTCCCTAACCATGTATATTAAGCTTAGCACAAAGATCAGCACTAAGATCTGCCTCTGATTTAATCCACTGACTGAACTCTCTCTGCTTTTCAGGAGGCTAAGATGCTAATTGCACGAGCTTACAGGCACACAGAGAAACTACTGCTGGACAACAGAGATAAACTCGTTGTGGTGAGTTCAGGCTGCTTGAGGTGCCTCTGAGCAGAGTGTAGTGTCAATAGTAGTAATAATAATAATAATAATAATAGTTATTTTTATTTATATAGCACTGTTCTCAGACCTGAGCTAATTCTGTTCCTCTCTTTGTGAGCAAATAATGTAATTTAGGTGATATCACATCATAAACAATGTCATTTTCAAACCTGTTACCAGATTAAGGCCTCTGCGGTCTTTATTGCCTTCATTTAGATGTTGTCTACTTGTAGATTTTGGTTCCAACCCTAATGTGAGACTGTCAGGTTAAGTATTGAATTGTCTCTGGAACACTTTATTTAACTCAACTCCTTTTAATTCAGTTAATTTTTCATGCAGTCATTTTTCTTGTACGCTTTATTTTACCAGGAGATATTAGTTTTGTGTTCATCTCTTTTATGCAAATTTTAAAAAATGCACATAAAAAAAAAATTGATAGAAATGCCAGAAATTCAGGAAAAAAAAAAAACGTTTACGTTTTTGTGCTTGGTTGAGGTGGAAGAGTTGGTTTATCGATAAAGGAGCATTGCAAAAAACAGTGATGGAAACGTTTTTCATGTAAGTGATGATGTAGCAGGAACAAAAGCCACATGTTTGACTCCATCTGATGATAAACATGGGGTCAAATAAAAATCATAAACATGTAAGCTGACGTTCACAACTTGAGCCCTCGTTAAATGGCCACTATCCACTCCGCCCAGTGTCTGTGAACTGTTAGGGCTTGGGTTCTAGGGGTGTAACGATTCTGAAACCGAGACTGAAACCACGATACAAACCGAGGTCTTGTTTCACAGTTCCGGAAGATGAAACCATGATAAGACCCCCTCCCCCAACCTGCTGCTGCCACTGCTTGTGCAGCCTTTTGAGCTCTCCTTGCGTCACAAATGTAACAGAACTCATTTTCATTTCACAGTTAACACTGTAACTAGTAGTGGGTGATAAACCAGCAGAAATTCTTTTTAAGCTATTAGGTTTGTCATTACCAATTTACCACTACGCACATAAATGAAGATAGCGTGACATACAGGTCACCACTCGTGTAGTGAGTTGCATTCTGAGGTATGTTGGTCCAGTTTATTGACACATAAGCAGACGCCGGATTGTAATGAGTTAAAGGGGGAAAGACAGTGGAATTAAAAGCCTGTCTCTTGGGGTTAGCTGTTGGCCATTAGCCTAACATGGAGACTAGCCAGCTATTCGTGTGCAGAGATTCAGTTATATTTAAAAATACACTAAACACACAAATGTGACTGGTGGAAAACTACAATAAAACTGATGTAGTGGGTATTTTTAAATTTGCACTTGTAGTTCTACAGTTACAGACTGTAGTCCATCTGTTTCTCTGCATACTTTGTTAGCCCCCTTTTACCCTGTTCTTCAGTGGTCAGGACCCCCATGGACCCTCACAGAGCAGGTACTATTTGGGTGGTGGATCATTTTCAGCACTGCAGTAACACTGACGTGGTGGTGGTGTGTTAGTGTGTGTTGTGCTGGTACGAGTGGATCAGACACAGCAGTGCTGCTGGAGTTTTTAAACACCTCAGTGTCACTGCTGGACTGAGAATAGTCCACCAACCAAAAATATACAGCCAACAGCGTCCTGTGGGCAGCGTCCTGTGGGCAGCGTCTTGTGACCACTGGTGAAAGACTAGAGGATGACCAACACAAACTGTGCAGCAGCAGATGAGCTATCGTCTCTGACTTTACATCCACAAGGTGGACTGACAAGGTAGGAGTGTCTAATAGAGTGGACAGTGAGTGGACACAGTGTTTAAAAACTCCAGCAGCACTGCTGTGTCTGATCCACTCAGACCAGCGCAACACACACTAACACACCAGCAACCACGTCAGTGTTACTGCAGTGCTGAGAATGATCCACCACCCAAATAGTACCTGCTCTGTGAGGGTCCATGGGGGTCCTGACCACTGAAGAACAGGGTAAAAGGGGGCTAACAAAGTATCAGAGAAACAGATGGACTACAGTCTGTAACTGTAGAACTACAAAGTGCTCCTATATAGTAAGTGGAGCTGATAAAATGGACAATGAGCGTAGAAACAAGGAGGTGGTCATAATGTTATGGCTGATCTATGTACTTCTTTGAACATTATTAATGTCAAATATAATCAGTGTGTGCATTTCAAATTTAATGCAGTTCAATCAGCACCTTCAGATCAAGGCGTTCTGTAGCTCTGCTGCATTTTTACACCACTGCTGTTCTGCTGTTTTTTGCCTGTAGCTGGCGAACGCTCTTCTGGAGCGTGAGGTTGTAAATTATGATGACATCGAGGCTCTGTTGGGACCCCCTCCTCACGGGCCCAAAAAGATGATTGCCCCTCAGAGCTGGATCGAGGCAGAGAAAGACAAGCAGGACACGGGAGAGGAGGAGCCTCGCCGACGCCAGAGACCCCCAAGGAAGGACGAGGAGGAGGAGGTCAATCTGGGGCCAGTGTGAAGCCTCAATATGCCAACCCAAAGCACTGAGACAGGAGGAAAACGCTAGGAATTGTGGGAAAAATATGAACTGCTTAGATTGTTATTTTTGAGAAGGAGCGCTGCAGAGTGGTTTTCTGTGCTGGTAGGAGGATTTGTTTATCTGTTTAGCAGAAAAGATGAGCACATGTCCATAGAGGATCCTTCTTGTCAGTGATTTTGAACAGATATGAGGTTTTAAAACTGATTGACACCCGTTTATAGAAAGAATCACTGCTAAGCTCTTGTTTTTCTTCACAATAGAGCAGCAACAAAGTAGCCTAAAGCAGCTGCCAGCTTAAATTATTGAACAATGAATATGCATTCATTTAATGAATGTAAGCGGCACATGCATTGTCGAAGAGAACAGGCTCATGTGATTAGCCTCATTATAAAATATATATATATATAGTGTCAGTTAAAGTGAAACACTTGATTGATTTAGATATAAGTACCACAGATAGGCGGTTATCTGGCCCCTGTTAACAGGTTGAGGTGTGAAAAGTTCAGTGATACAGAATGTTAATTATTTTATTCGACGATACGTTGAATAAACTATATTTTGTGTACTTGTTTGACTTATTTTTTCCGCTCACGAAGTCCAACACCACTGTAAGAGTATTCTTTATTCTTAACTGAAAAGACAATTTTACAAAATACATCACTTCAATTATTTGACGTCTTATATGAAATAAATATTAAAACACGTTCACGTTAAATCACGTTCAACAAGAAGAGCCACAAACAAACCAGCAACAAAATATTTAAAAAAAAAGGAATTATAGCTGTATCAGTTGAGTAAATGTTTGTGAAATTCTGGAAAAAAAGATCACGTCAAACTGTCCTTAAGCTGTGTTAACCTGTCAGACACCTGTGAGTTGATGTGTTAGGTAACGTTTGGTGCCCTTATGGAGTTAAATGCAAATTTATGTACAAAATTAAGGCATAAAAAAGTATCACAAAATCGGTGGATTAAATGTGTCAACTTACAACGTTCCATTCGTAATAAAACCACTCAGTGGGTCAGTCTTCAAAACAGACTTGCTCCAGCTATCAATGCAGTTACGTACCTTTTGCTATACCTACACATCCAGCAAACCTCTACATTCGTTAGCTTTCTCAAAACAGTCATGAAAATCTACAGTGCTGTGCAAAAATCAGAGACCACCCTTTATTTATTTCATTTTTTCTGACATGATATTTTTGAGGTGAGTAGAAGTTTCCAACACTGGAGCTTAAAACTGACTAAAAGCTACAGAGAAGTTTTGTTTCGACAGCAGCGATATATTTAGTGGTGTAATTGTCTAGTAAATTAACCTTTTCTGTTTTTTTATTTCTTGACGCTAAAAATAAATGACTTAATACCTGCTTTGACTGGAAATTAAATAAATAAAGGGGGGGGGCTCTGACTTTTGCACAGCACTTTACACTTAAGTAAACATTTATTCACAGTCCCTTATTTGCTGTTGAGCATGTCAATTTTTCAGGCAGTTGTGTTTGTGTGCCGGCTATTAGAAGAACGCGCCATTGTTCTTAGCACACTCATCATCTACACTGTGTCCAAAAGTGTCGAGACATCCTGTGTAATTAGTGAATTGGGCTACTTTAAGTGTTAAATTGTGCACCTACAGCTTTATAATATCCACAGAAAAGCACTGACCAACAGAATCAGACACTGGAGCAGCCACACATGAGCCTAAGGTCACCACGCTCAATGCCAAGTGTCGGCTAGAGGGGTATATAGCCCCCCAGCATTGGGCTGTGGAGCAGTGGAACTGTGTTCTCTGGAGTGATGGAGCTCCATCCTGTACCTTTGGGATGAGTTGGAGTGATCCAGAACTGACCATCCAACATCAGTACCTGACCTCACTAATGCTCAATCAAATCCTCACAGCAATGTTCCAACATCTAGTGTGAAGCCAGAAGAGTAGAGGCTGTTAGTGCAGCAAAGAGGGGACAAACTCACTATTAATACCAGATAAAACAGTGGATGAGCAGGTGTGTTCAGTCTTTTGGACGCGTATCAGTCCAGGCTGTTCCACTCCGGTCTTTGTGTAAAGCTTTTAGAAAACTGGGTCTCTGATTAGTATGTATTGATGCACTTGTGCCGCCTGCTGCTGTTTGTGTGTCAGGTGAGTCACCATGTGCCGCCACGCGCCCGGCGCTCATCACATCAGCACGGTGAAATAGCTCGCTGATCCGTGACGGGACGGGGGAGAAAAACAGCTCGCGCCGTCTCTGACATGACAGCGGCGACCTTTCGCGGGAATACACCAGAGGGGAATACGAAAAAGCTCAAATTCAGTCTAGCAGTACCTCGATCAATGATCCACACACATCCTCCCATCCTTATCAGCAGGGGCCACATCAGCAGCCCCAAATGTTTAGGATGGGGAATGTTCAAATATACGGTTTCTCCTGAAGGCTTTGGGGAAGAAGAATCGAATGCAAGCTCTGTGTAGATAAGTGGGTCTAGTCACTGGAGTACATGTTGGCCAGTTTCTTGAAGCGTGGCCCCCAGTCACTGAGGTAGTCATAGTCTTGGTCTTCCTCTGAGCCCATGGAGGCAATGGAGCTCAGACTGCCCGCCAGGGAGCCATCACCTTCATAGTCATAGATCAGGGCTGTGTCATACGGAGGCACGTTGGGGTCGTTGTCTGCAACATCCAGACCCTGTGAGGGGGGACACGGAAAAGAAAGAGATGTGACTGCTGTGGAAGGAAGGGACGAACTTATAGGTTGAACACTGGAGGGGTTAAAGCGGACCTTCCAATGGGGGCTTTGGGCTAATGGCACAGTTATTAAACCTTTTGGACATATTAAAAAGTTGTCTAATCTCACCGCACAAATTCTAATAAAGTAGTTTTAATTGTCGGTCCAACAACAGAGAACTAGCCCTCTTCTTATATCGGGTACTGTATATAGGGTATACTAACACTCCTTAGATAAGCCCAACCGTGGTCAGTTATTTCTCTTGACACATTTGGCATAACTTAACCCTTATTCACTATAAATCATACACAGAGTTTATTGACACCTGTTGATGTTACAAAATGGTCTGATTCTTAATTGCAGTGGCCAGTTCTGTTCTGGTCGTATGCTGAGCACATTTTTACATGTCGTCTGGGGATCTGAGCCTATTAGAAACTTTTGGAAATGTATTAATATCCCTCAAATCAACTCAAAACATGTAAACTTTACCAGGATAACAGCATAAACTGAATTTAAATTACAAATGCACATAACGTTAAGCGATTATTAAATCGAAGAAATCAGCTTGCCTAAAGATAGGGAGAAATCAACTGTAAGTCAGAGTTCCCTTCTAGAAAAGTCACTCCGTCCTAAATAAGAGGAGCTTATAAAGAGCATTATATCATATCCCAATAAGAGCGAGGCTGTGGTGATTTGTGCTGCTTCCTTCTCACTCACATCATTGATGAAGTCCTCGATGTCAGTAGGGTTTGCTGGTCTTTTCCGCGGATACTTCGGCGAGGGCAGGTTATATGGCGCGTCTTTCCTGAGTGGCTGTTTGTGTTTCAGAAGGCCGGAGCCTGGCTGGCCGAAGGTTTCAGGGGGAGGGACCATGTCACTCGGGGTCCGCAGAAGATCAATGTTGAACACGTTCTGGAAAAGTGATGTTAAAATGAGTCATTTTAGTGATTCGGTTTGTTAAAATTCATTTCACTGTGCACAGACTCACTGCTTCATTCCAGTATAGGCTGCTGATGACGTACACAAACCTATAATAGTTTTATTTAATTTAAAATTTACCCTCTGTTCTAATAGACAGTGTGTACATTATTAGCCTGCTGGATTGTGAAAGAGATTATATGAAACCAATTTCATCAGATAAAAATAATATTTATAATATTCATGATGATTGCAACAAGCTGCAGTAAAAAAAAAGCTGAAATCTGAGATTTACTACAGGATCATAAATACAGCCCCAAAATTTCTCTCAAGATGCTCAAACCCCATCCAGGCCTTTCATTAAGGTTGTGCAGAGTTGTTGATGTGGCTTAGGACTCAGTATGATTTCCTTCGCAACATAAAAATGAACAAAACGCCTCTGTGTAGCCGTTGTGTTGTGATAAGTTCTGACTCCCTTGCAGTATCAGCTCAGTCATACATCACAACAACAAATTTGCATGACTTTAATAAAGACCTAGATGAGGTTTGAGTGAGTTGAGAGAAGTTTTGGGGATAAATTTTTGAAAACAATTTGGGTGACTAATGACTTCTAGTGTTTGTTAGCAACATTAGTCTCCTAGCTGCAGTTTAAAACTAAAGCAGCAAAATGTGGACACCCAACTTGTCTTGGCTGGTCAACTATATCTGACATAAGTAGAAAAATGTGTCAATAGTTTTTTTCACCAAACTATTCCTTTAACTAACAATTATATATAAATATTAATTGCTTTTAAATGTTCGTTTTCCATTAGTCCCCATGTTCTCTGAGCTTGACTGAGCACAAATCTGTAGAAATGTTTTGAATCAGTCCAGCCACATAGCTAAAGAGGGAGCTTTTATCACTTACTGTTAAATTAATTACATGTTTGTTCACATAGGACAACTTTATTTTAATAACATAACAGAAAATCTACTACTTCTGTACTAAATTTCCCTATAAAACATAAAAAATAAAAAATAAAAATGTTACAATTTCATTGTAAATGCAAATGGGCAGTGTCAGATGTTCCTCCAAGGTATAACTATACAAAATTTAATCACTTTTCACTCATAAGTTCTGTGCATTACTTTTTATCACACTAAATTTCCTTGCTGGACATGAATGGGTTAAAGATTTCCCATCTGTCCGGCTGTGGGACTGAATGGAGCCTCAGTATGTCATCTGGATGAATTCCCCCAGCTAATTCAGCATAACTCTGACTCACACCCAGCCTGTACTGCTGTTTCACATTCATCCTCCCTACGCTCACCACACACCACCTGCTGCTGTCCACTCCCCAGCTGGACCCCGCCCGCTCCACACGGCTGACTTTGTTTCAAACTAACTGGCCCTTGCTCAACTCGGGACCCACATATTAAACCACGCACACCTGACTGCCATAGTGAAGCGCTCAGCGTTCTCACCTCATCCTCCTCTCCTCCGCCCTGCTCATCGTAGTTGAAGACGTTGTCGCGCACGTCGTCGTCCGATTCGCCCACCAGCAGTCCTCCTCCTTTCTTCAGGCTGCGGTGGGTGCAGCTCCTCACAGCCACGGCCAGGAGAAGCAACACTGAGAAAGAAACAGACACATATATACAATGAGGTTCACAGGGGGCCTGTATGTGTTACAGTAAAGTAATGCTGCTTAAATAATCCAGGTAAAAGCATTTAACCACAGTGACTTTTGTTGTTTATTTGTTCCAAATATTTTGAATATTTTTCCTTCAACTGCCTCTTCATAGGTTTTGTTTAATTACTTTTGTTCATAATTTTTAATTTAATTTCTTAATACATTTTTAATGATTTTAGTCATGACTCACTGAAACTGGTGGAGAAATTCTGTGCAAATATTTGTGGTTGTAGGTAGGAGATATTCTGTCAAGTTGGCTTATATATATATATATCACAGCAATATTTCTCTCTCTTTCTCTCTCTCTCTCTCTCTCTCTCTCTCTATATATATATATATATATATATACATACATATATAGATAAATACATGTATAGATAAAAACATTTTTCCAAGTAATTTTGGACCATTTCTCTTGGTCCGTTCATCATGAAATTTTGACACATCATAAAGGGGCAGTGACCTTTTCGAATTATGGCAACAAATGAAAAACTCCAAAAATGGCGATACAAGGCTTTGTCCCCACAGCAGTGATATACATACATACGCAGTGATATACATATATACACACAAATTAGCATTAGCAACCACCTGGGATACCATAGCGACACCTTGGCAAACACCTTGGATAACACTGCAATGGCCGAACAGCACTTTAGCAACCACCTGGGATTCCCTAGCAATGGCCTGGGAACGGCCTAGCAATACCTTAGCAAACCTAGCAAACCTTAGTGACCACCTGGGATTCCATACCTACAGCCTTGCAGCTCCTTAGTAACCACCTGGGATTTCATAGCAACGTCTTTGTCAAGCCAACTTAATGTTCACTGACAACTTTTCCTTTCTAGTCATGCTTTGAATTTGAAGTGCAGTCTCAAACCTGTCGATACAGCATGCAGTCAAACGCAGATACATGATTGTAAAGTGAGAGAAGCAGAAATAAATCTGAGCTGTTATTCCATAGTGAACTAGGAAATTCAATCAAACTAACTGCATGTAATGTAAATGACCTGTACAGCTAAATGACTGTAATAACACTAGACAAACCTGGGACGGATGAATGCTTCCATGAACTGACCCCAACTGTGGAGTTCTAGTGTACTTACGCAACAGAAGAGCAGCACTGGCCATGATGATCATAAGGGCGATGAAGCTGATGCCCACTTTTGATCCGAAAATGGCTGCAGCTGTGAAGGCCGTGCACTGTCCAGCCCTGTCACACGGGCACACTGTGACATTGACCAGGGCGTTCGAGGAGCGGGCAGGGGAGCCTGAGTCCGAGACGGTGATGGGGATGGAGAACTCACCCCAGTCAATGTCAATCAGAGGCTGCAGCATCGCGTGGGTTTCTGAAAATGAGAAAAATATTGTGTTTATTATATTTACTATACAGTACTGTGCAAAAAGTTTGAGAAAGTTGATATTAAAAGGCTTTTGATCAGCCAGAACTTATTTGCTCATAAAAACACTAACATTACAATATAATTTTGTATTTGTCTTTATTTGTATTTATTGACAATGATGTGATGTTTTACAAGCATAAGCACATTTATTGCCCAAATAAATGGTTTTAAATACTGTACTTATGAGCCTACTGTATATACTGTATAAAGTATTGTATGTAATGTTGTTATGCACATATTTATACATATTTACATTATGTATCATCAGCCTGTAAACACTACACTCACGCACAGATATGGTTTAGCTTTACAGTAAACAGACATTGTTTTAAGGAGGACTTTTTCACCCCATTTTCCCCTCTTACAGCCGCACTGTGGTACATATGAAGTATAAAGTGCTCTATAATTGAGCATTTTTTTGTTACCATTGAGTGGTATGATGGTCCAGTTGGCAGCCATGTCTGCGTCAGCCATCTCGAAGCTGAAGGGGTCAGCGTGAGGTGACAGGTCATCGTCCATAGCGGTCAACAGCAGGCCCAGCCGGCCCGGCTCTCTGTCACTGCACACGGTGCCGCTCAGTGGGACCAGAACAGGTGGGAAATCATTCGTCGCCCACAGGGTGATCTCCAGCGAGGCCGTGGCTGAAATGCCACCAGCGTCTGAGACGAGGGGTCATTTGGAGATTAGTGATGGGCAGTAAGACAATGACTAACAACAGCTCTAAAGGTCAGTGAATAGAATAAAGCTTTACATTAAACAAATAAACGTATAAGCCCTTTAAACACTAAGGGTCAGTGTGTGGGTCCACATTTTGGGTACCTCACTCGCATAATTACACAAATCCGTTTTACAGCAGTTACCAAATAATTTATAGTAGCTATTTAATAATTTGTAATAATTTCTGAAAATTCATAGTGGTTACTGAATAATTCATAGTGGTTACTGAATAATTTATAGTGGTTACTGAATAATTCATGGTGTTTACCGAATAATTCACAATGATTACTGAGTAATTCATAGCGGTTACTGAATAATTCATAGTGATTACTGAATGATTCATAGTGGTTACCGAGTAATTCATAGTGATTACTGAAAAATTCATAGTGATTACTGAATAATTCATGGTGGTTACTGAATAATTTATAGTGGTTACTGAATAATTCATGGTGTTTACTGAATAAGTCATAATGATTACTGAGTAATTCATAGTGGTTACTGAATAATTCATAGTGATTACTGAATGATTCATAGTGGTTACTGAATAATTCATAGTGGTTACTGAGTAATTCATAGTGGTTACTGAATAATTCATAGTGATTACTGAATAATTCATAGTGATTAATGAGTAATTCATAGTGGTTACTGAATAATTCATAGTGATTACTGAATAATTCATAGTGATTAATGAGTAATTCATAGTGGTTACTGAATAATTCATAGTGATTACTGAATAATTCATAGTGGTTACTGTATAATTCATAGTGGATCCTGAATTACTTGTAATGGTTACTGAATAATTAATAATAGTTACAGAATAATTCATTGTAGTTACTGAACCATTCATAGTGGATACTGAATCATTTATAGTAGTTACTGAGCAATTCACAGTAAAACTGTGATCACACACAGTTTACTATTAAACCTGTCCCATATAATCAGACACTCACCCAGGTCAGTGACTTTCACCAGCGCGGTGTATTTGTTGTTCTTCACGTAGGACGAGCGGATGTTGAAGGTTCTCCTGGCAGTGACCTCTCCGGTGTCACGGTTGATCCCCAACCACCTCTCAGGATCATGAGTAATCTCAAACCTGAGTTAAAACAGGAAAACATGAAGTCTTTATATTGCTAAATTGAAGCTCAAGAAAGTGTGATTGTTAAAATAACTTACTGTTTTATTTTAAAATGTAAATAAATTGTAACCCTAACGTGTGTAACAGATGTGTAAACGCTAGGGACACAAAAATGGATGTTTCTGTAAAATGACCCAAATAGCTATATTTATAATTGCCCTTTTGTCAACAGTAAGGTACCTCCAGCAAAATAGTGCATTATGTACAGTTTTTTGAAAATGTACAGTATTAGCGTACAGTGCAACAGTGCTGTATGTTAAACAGTTACCATAAAAAACATACAGTTAACTGCTTTATAGAATACATATAGTAATAACCTGTATATTTGGATTACAGTGATGTACCGTATGTGCTGTGATTGTGAACTGCAGAACACTGTTACAAATAAAGGTTCTGTTTAGGTACATTTTTCGTTCATCAAGATACAAACAATGTAAATGTTCCCTCAAAGCTACAACAGTGGTTTTAAGGTCTGATTGTGAACCTTAAATAAGTTTTTCCTGGTGAAAAGTTCATATTTGTACCTTTTCATAACCGAATGTTTTAAAACAGAACAGTAAAATAAAAGCCTGGAGACGAGACGGGGTGTGTGGAGTACAGCTTAATATAATTTATTAATTATAATTTCAGTGGATTATGGTACAGTTATGTTCCCTGACTAAAGGTACTGGAACCTTGAGGGTCCCACCCCAGTGACAAGAGGGGTACTGGCCCAGTGACAGTTTAGTACCTTTATTTCTGAGAGTGTACAGTACTGTAAATTAAACAACACTATACTGCAGAAACTGTCAGTTAATTAGTGTAATTTTACAGCTAAAGTTTTTTACAGGGTACTTTTTTGGCTAGAAGTAAACCATGTTTTAAACAATCCAGCTGAATGAGAAATCCTGCTTGGTTAAATATTAATATCTCTATCTTACGGACCTCAATGGAAATAATACTTAGGGTTTTTTGTGCTGTCTCTACCTAATTCTGTTTGATTTTATTATTTTATACTGTGACATAACCCCTTTTTCATTGCATGTAGTGCTTTTTGTTTTAAAATGTGTGATGGTCTAATAAAATCAATCAATCAATCAATCAATCAATCAATCAAATCAATCAATCAAGACATTGCTGCAATACTGCAGATATTCAGGAGCACGATAAGTGTGTCAGCACTACAGTAGCCTGCAGACAGGTCATTCATACTTGAGCTTGGCGTTGTCAGGATCATGGGCGATGTCTGAGGCCAGGACAGTGCCCGGTGCAGTGGACTCGGGGAAAGACACCTGTATGGGGTTTCTATAGAAACGGGGAGCCTCATTTTCATTGAGAACGCGGATGGTAACGGTGGCAGTGCTGGTCTGTTCATACGGGGCTTTGGTACTCAGAGGAACTTCATTCTCAGCTATCACTGTGAGCTGGTATTCAGATTTAGACTCGTAGTCCAGCGGCTGCAAGATGAGAGGGAATTGTGGGAAATGTAGTTAATATATGGGAGAGATATAGTCCAATTACCTTTTAAGAGGAAAACAGTGATGTGGAACCAGTTCAGCTGCAGTGCGTTATGTACTCAGTGTTTTGAAGCAAGCAGGTCTACAGTGGACCAATAGAGGGCGATATCAGATTGATTACCTCACCATGAGGATGGATTTACAGCAGAGCTGCACAATATGGACAAAATATAATGCTATTATATTGCTATGTACATAAAATATCAAAAATCCAGTGAATCATAATATTGCAATATATGTAAAATCCAGTGAATCAACGATCTGACAAATATTGGAATAATGGCCTATTGCGACCAAAATAAATAAACTGCATATTTTAGATTACATGAATATCTCAGTTCAATAAGTTGTGCAGCTCTAATATGCAGTATGTGTCATATCAAACAATGGCATTATTAAAGGGGAATTAAACTGATTTCTCAGAAGTTCTGTATAATTAAATGGTTAGGATGTAAACAAAGTCATTCAGAGTGAGTCAGAATTATTCACAGTGGTGGTGAACCAGACGTCCACCTAAAAGCTCCCTAACAGAAAGTTATTACATGAAATGGTTATAAATTCACTTCCTGATATCTGAGAAACCATTTTAGGATAGTTTTGAGAATATTTTGGCCTGAAACAAACATGTAAAACCCTTTAATGATGAAGTGATACATGCTGGACAAAATAATGAGGCAAAATGGTCCCCAAAGTATTTCCATCATCAACATCACATATAAAACTCTGAAGACTCGTGTTGGTTCACTGGTGGTTTTGGATAGTAAACAAAATGTCTATATTTGTGTTGTAGTCATGGTGACCTCTGGTTCCTATCACCACCACTGTAAAGACATCTGAGTCTCTACAATCAACCTTTTCACACCAAACCACTCTGAATGACTCTGTTTACATCTCAAACACTCAATTATGCAAAATATAGAAAAATCAAACCTGCCCTGCTGCTGTTGGTGGGACGGTTTATTTACCTTCACTACAGAGATGATGCCCTGGTTGGTGGCGCGATCTGTCCGAACAGCAAAGTTTCCAGAAGCATCTCCTCTTATAGAGTAAACGATCCTCCAGTTCTCTCCATTCCTCTGGTCTTTATCTGTAGCGTTCACTCTGCCCAGATCCACCCCAACCTTATTCTCCATCGCAAACATATTGTACTGCAACCACAGGATGGAAACAGGTGTTCACACGTTTGTTAATGCAGTATATACACTGAAAAAAGTTTTGAATTTACATGATTAAACTGCTTCAGTTGGGTGTGCATGAAGAAAATGTACTATATTAGCAACTGCTGTCATTCACTGTATATGGCAAGAGTTACGTTGATGTAACATATTTCATTCATGTGCAACTGATTGACAAGTCAACTATATACAGTGGCAAGAAAAGTATGTGAACCTTTTGGAATTTAATGGTTTTCTGCATTAATTTGTCATAAAATGTGATCTGATCCTCATCTAAGTCAAGCGTATTGATAAATATAATGTGCCTAAAATAATAACACACAAAAAAACATGATCTTGCGGGTCTTTATTGCACACACTCATTCAACATTCAAAGTGGTAGTGGAAAAAGTAAGTGAACCCTTGGAATTAATAGCTGGTTGAGCCCCCTTGGCAGCAATAACCTCAACCAGGCGCTTCCTGAAGCTGTAGATCAGACCTGCACATCGTTCAGGAGGAATTTTAGCCCATTCTTCCAGGCAGAACTGCTTTAGCTCTGTCATGTTCCTCGGACGCCTCATGTGTACGACTCTCTTCAAGTCAATCCACAGCATTTCTATAGGGTTGAGATCTGGGCTCTGACTTGGCCACTCCGAAAGGCGGGTTTTGTTTTTCATAAGCCGTTCTGTTGTGGACTCGCTCCAGTGTTTTGGGTCGTTGTCCTGTTGCATCACCCAACTTCTACAGAGTTTCAGCTGACGTACAGACACTCTCACATTATCCTGTAGAATTTTTTGATACACTTGGGAATTCATCTTCCCCTCAGTGACTGTAAGCTGGCCAGGCCCTGATGCAGCAAAGCAGGCCCAAATCATGATGTTCCCTCCACCACACTTTACGGTTGGGATGATATTTTCATGGTGATGTGCAGTGCCTTTTTTACGCCAGATGTAGCGCTGCGTGTTCTTTCCAAATAGTTCAATCTTAGTTTCATCTGTCCATAAAACATTTGGCCAGCACCGTTGTGGAGTGTCAGTGTGCTCTTTCGCAAACCTCAGGCGTGCAGCAAAGTCCTTTTTAGTAAGCAGCGGCTTCCTTCGTGCTGTCCTGCCATAGACACCGTGCTTGTTCAAGGTTTTACGGACCGTAGACTCATGAACACAGATGTTAGCCTGCACCAGTGACGCCTTCAAATCTTTGGCTGTCACTTGGGGTTGTTTCTCTACCTCGTTGATGAATCTCTGTTGTGCTCTTGGGGTCATTTTGACTGGGTGCCGACTTCTTGGCAGAGTAGCCACAGTCCCAAATTGTCTCCATTTGTAGATTGGTTGACTGTAGACTGGTGAATTTCTAAAGTCTTTGAAATCACTTTGTAACCCTTTCCAGCTTCATGTAAATCAACAATTTTTGATCGTAGATCCTCTGAAAGCTCTTTTTGGCGAGGCATGGCTCACATACATGTATCCTTCTTGTGCAGAGCAAACTCAAAAAGTTTGAGTGGTTTTTATCAGTCAAAGCAGCTCTAGTCCACACCTCCAAACTCATTTTCTTAACAAGACTCCAGGTATGCTAACACCTGACTCCAATCAGCTCTTCTGAGATCATTAACTCAAGGGTTCACATACTTTATCCACTAGCACTATGAGGTTTTTATGGTTGTTCTCAATGAACACATGAATGATCAGAATTTTTTTGTGTTATCATTTGAGGCACATTATATTTGTCAATACGCTTGACTTGGATGAGGATCAGATCACATTTTATGCCAAATTAATGAAGAAAACCATAAAATTCCAAAAGGTTAACATACTTTTTCTTGCCACTGTATATATATTCAAAGCTGAACAGTTTATTGGATGTTCTACTTTTTTTTTCTTATAATTTGTAATTATGTGTTTTTTTTTACCTTGACAGTAAGTTAAAAATAACACATTATCTACCTAGAACACATTTAAATATGGCATTTTTAGCAAATTTTAGAGCACAATTTCTATTTATTTACTGAGTGTAACAAAAGGAAAAAATAGAAATGAAAAAATATAAAATGTGCCGTAACTTTTACACAGGCCACATTTTATGGTTTATTTTTTCCAGGTTAAATTCAGCAATTAAACATTAATTGTGCATTAAATTGTGCAGAAGTGTGTTCTCTGTAGAGGGTGCGTTAACTTATCTACACTACAATACATGTCACAAACTTTTGCATACTGTTATGTTGTTATCTTGTTATATTGTTATATTATAGTTTCTAATATTTTGCTCATCTTCCTGTGATTTGTGATTGTGCAAAAAAATTAAACATTCTGGATAAATAATAATAATAATAATAATAATAATAATTGCAGTGCTTGATCAGAAGTTAACAGCTGTGAGTATTTGAACAGACTGTCTCAGCTGAGTGTGCAGTACAGATACCGTTGTAGGCTGGAACTGCGGGGCGTGGTTGTTGATGTCCGTGATGTAGATGGTGGCGCGGCCGGTGCTGGTGAGGCCCAAACCAGACATGTCGGCCACCTGCAGCGTCAGCTGGAAAGACTGGACCACCTGATGGAGCACGAAATGTAAAGACAATCATGTGAGACTTTACTGAGCTGAACTGAAACCAAATGACTTTGTTTTTTAATACAGTTTCTGTTTAAAACCTCAATCAGGAGCTCTAAAAGAAAAATGTATATTTACTCCAAAACATCACATTATGTGCCTAAGCAGGCCTCGCATTCCCACCAACATGACCACATTCAGCCTGTCTAAGCTACAATCTTATTTTGTTGATGCATCATAAGTAAATCATTGTTCCGTTTTTTTAAACATCATAGCTGTAAAATTACAACCTCATAATCACCAGCTGCTCTTTCCATTGTGTGAAGATTTATAATGAAAAATCGAACACAAATGCTCCAAAAATACTTCTAGATGCCACTTACAATAAAAGTCTTACATTAGCTAACATTTGGCGAGGACTGTGTCTTCAGTATGAGGGGAGACTGATTGAGGGAGGGGGGAGAACTCTGAGAACCAGGGCAGCTTCTGTCAGTAGCTAGAAGCCCGGACCCCCCTCACCTTTTTGTGACCATGGTAGGACTGATGTAGGAGTGAGGAACAGATAGAAGGTGGGGTGGTAACTGTCCATTAAAGTTATCAATCTTTCTTCCTTCATCACCATATAACACTACATAACATTTGAACCAATACAAATAAACATAAATACAGTAAAACCTGTTTTCTGTAAAATTATGGAAATGTTGGTGAGAACAACAGAGTTAGAAGGACACAGGTTTTGTTCCTGCTCTGATAGCAAGAGGATGGTGGGCCACTGTTGGCCACTGATGGCAAAGCTGGCGGTCCACTGACATTTTGCTCAGCATTTTCCGGGCGGCCCACCGGTGGTTAAGCAGAGTATTAGACAAAATCCCACTTATCATCACTCATTTTTCACTCAGTCCAGTTTACTAATTTTTCCTTCCTTCTTTTGTTTAGTTATACTTATATATACATTATAATTCTAATCTATCTCAGTGTCACATTTTTTTCTATAGAATCATTTTAATGCGTAGGTATTATTTTTTTCTCTCTCTCGGTTGTTTGTAATATTTGTCCTCATTTATTTTCTAAAATAAAAGTCTCTGTGCATTTAAAATCTATTTAAGGAGATTAAACACTAGGTAGAGCTTGTATGCAGGACAGTAATCTGGGTGGTCCGAGGGTGGACCAGCAGTGGCATACAGTCAGCGGGGTGCCGACCTCATCAAGCTAGCGGACCGATATGTACTCGTTATCTGGGTGACTTTTCTCTGTACTTCAGTCACTGCATGGCTAAAAATATTATGTTTGTGAGCAAATAAATGGTTGGTCTCTCCACCACTGGCCAGTTTATGGACAATTTTTGGGCAATTTTTGAGCTAGTATTGTATCAGACTTAAAGAACAAACTTCTTTTCTCTTGTATAAAATAAATCTATTCTGGTTCTGATTAACTATGGATTACAATGGTTCATATTTAGAAACTAAATAATAAAAAACATGTTCCTTTTCAAACTGAACCTACATCTCGGTCCAGTCCCACGTCCCGTGTGTAGATGACCCCTGTTTCGTTATTGATGCCGAACATGGTCTTGTTGATGCTGAAAGGCGGGAAGCTCTCCTGAGCTACGATGGAGTAGCTGAGCACTGCATTATCTGTGGACGGGTCATCAGCGTCCACTGCAGATATGGTTAGCACTGAAGTACCTGGACACACAACATATAGGAGCAGCATTAAGGATGGACATTCAGTTAGTAAAGCTGTTTGATGATTCTGAAGTACAGGAGGGAGGGGAGTGATGAAAGCTGCTTTACAAACAAGAGGAGCTGTGGGTTCCAGTATGGGTACAGTATGGGTACAGTATGGATACAGTATGGGTACAGTATGGATAGAGTATGGGTACAGTATGGATACAGTATGGGTACAGTATGGATAGAATATGGGTACAGTATGGATACAGTATGGGTACAGTATGGATAGAGTATGGATACAATATGGGTACAGTATGGATACAGTATGGGTGCAGTATGGATACAGTATGGATACAATATGGGTACAGTATGGATACAGTATGGGTACAGTATGGATAGAGTATGGATACAGTATGGGTGCAGTATGGATAGAATATGGGTACAGTATGGGTACAGTATGGGTACAGTATGGATACAGTATGGGTACAGTATGGATAGAGTATGGATACAGTAACGCTCTGGGAACATTTCCAAAAACTAACTGTTGAGCACTGTGTTTTTAGCTATGGCAGTTAGCAGCCTGTGTATGGATAGGAGACTGGTTCATTGGTTTATGGTCAGAAGATGTATTAATGCTGACCTTTTTGTCACCTTCGCTGTGTTTGCTGCTCACTGCATTTGTCACACTCGCAGTGTTATCATAACCCTTTTCATTTTTTTGTACATGACACACAATTAAACTGTGGTTTTCACAGCCTTATTGAGAGGAATCATATTTCTTACAGCGGTAATGGGATTATTATAATAATGGCATTTCTTAAAAAAGTTTAAAAGTCCCAGTGCTACAGCCCAATAGCCAGGGCCTAGACACAGCCCTGTGCTATACATATATTCTGTATCGTCACTGTTCAAAAAAGCAGTATCTCCATTTTGATATATATATATCAAGTATAAACATATATAGCATAGGGGTGTGTCTTGGCCCTGGGCTACAGCCCTGAGTCTTTTAAACTTCTTAAAGAATTTAATAGTTTTTTTACAAACTTTTTAAAATTTTTAATATATTCTTTTTAAATACGAACTTGAAAAAGTAAAAAAAAATATATATATATATATATATATATATAATATATATATATGTTTTCCCTGTGTCTGTGTGAGTTTCCTCCCACAGTCCAAAGACATGCAGTCAAGCCAACTGGAGTGGCCCTAGGTGTGAGTGTGTATGTCTGTGTGTCTGCCCTGTGATGGACTGGTGATCTGTCCAGGGATTTTCCAGCCTTCCGCCCAATGAACGCTGGGATAGGCCCCAGCACCCTTCGCTACCCAGAACAATAAGCGGCTTAGCGGCTTACATATATCCATTTATATTTTATTTTATGGCATTTAGCCATGAAGCCTGATTTTTTCTGTACTTTAGTCCATGTTTATAGATAACTGTGTCATTCGGTGTCAGAAACCACACAATCAAGTCTGTTAGACATACTGAACACCTCCACACAGTGAGATAATGTAGGGCTGCCATTTGCATGACACTAACTAGTGGGGTCTAAGCTACCATTACTTGTTAGCTGTATTAGCCTTGTAGCTCCAGTATTGAACTAAAGAAGTAAACTCCAGACTTCTAGACTTCTAGACTTTGGCTGATTGGCTCCATTTGGGGTAAGGGGGGGGGGATTGCATAAAAGTTATTATTTATTTTTACTAAACTGCTCTTTTTACGCAATAATACATTTCATTGTGTGCAGTGCAGGGATGTGTATATGTGTGAAATTACTTTCGAGTGTTGCTTACCTGGAATGGAGAATTCTGGCACGGCACCAATAAACTCCTCTTGGATAAAGTTCGGTCTGTTGTCATTCTGATCCAGTACATAAATCTCGATAGTGGTGGGGTTCTCCAGACGTTCTCCACTGGGGGACAGCGCAAAGGCTTTGAGCTGAAAACAAACAAGTTCAACCTATTACACACATTTCTGTCATTTCAGGAAGTAAAACAAGTGAATCAAGACTTCAAAACCTTCAAAAAAATCAAAACATTCATTGAATGAAATCTTTATTAAACTGAGTGAGACTGAAGTCTTGACTGACTCCTCTGCAGAATATTTACAGCATGTAAGTCATGTTATTTCCATCTAAAACACTCAACCCTCAAACCATGAAACAGCTGTTTGCAGGCTGCTGCTGCGTAACACCCAGGAACACGAGGAGGTTAGAGGAACGTCCTGCTATTTACGGCCCTCAATTTACCGTGAAGCTCTTGTACTTCTCTCTGTCCAGGGGCATCTTGCTCTTGATCCATCCAGTTTTGTCATCAATTTCGAAGAGGTCTTTAGGCTCCTGGTCGACCCCGGGGCCCTCCAGCTTGTAGATCACCTCTCCAGTGAAAACCTTGTCTGATTTGATCTGCGAGGAGAAGCATGGAAAGTGTTAAGGGCACACAGTGAGCAGCTGATCAGGAATGTGTGAGGAGAACATGAGGAGAGCTGCTGCAACAGATGTGTTTGTAGACGTGAAGCTGGGATGAGGTCAATAAATGAAAAGAGACGTAAGATATAAGTCTCTTTCGTTTGGAAGAGTTGATATTGTTGCTGTCATGACAACATGTTTTTATTTTACTATTATTTTATTAAAGTAAAAGTAGAGTCAGTATGTGTGGACATTGTCACCTCAATATAAACTGCAACTGTAATTAATGTCAACAAATATTAACATACAGGGTTTTCAGTTTGTAAGTCAATCTCTTTTCAGAGTGTGTTTGAAAAAACAAGCTGCCCTTTACACTGAATATTTGACCAAACATGACAAATATAAGAACAGAGATGGTCCAGATTACTTGTGATAACATTAATGTACATTAACACACATACATTAAAATAAAATAAAAAGCCTCCATTTTTAAAAGTTACATTAACAGATGTAAAAATGTTTTCAGAGATATGAAGCTTTTCTTTCATACAGTCGTTTGGTCAAATAGTTTTTCTGATTTTCTAAATAAAAATAATGTTTTTAATAATAAGTTTATTTATACAGCCCGCCCTGCGATGGACTGGCGACCTGTCCAGGGTGTATCCTGCCTTCCGCCCAATGACAGCTGGGATAGGCTCCAGCACCCCACCGCGACCCAGAAGGATAAGCGGTTTAGATGATGTATGTATGTATGTATTTATACAGCGCCTTTCATACCCTGCTGTCATTCAAAGTGCTTTAGAAATGAAAAAATACAGAGTCAGAAATGTAAATAAATAGATAAATAAATAGAAATGAACAAGACTAGGAATGAAAAACATGATTAAATCATGATTAAAACAAAATATTTAAAAGAGAAAATCATTAAATTAAAAACCACATTAGAAAGTAAATGAGGATTGTTGCAAAATCAAATAAGAAAATAAAATGTATATAAAAAAATAATAATTTGATTAATTTTAAAAGTAAATATCTAAAATAATAAGCTAATACATCCTCTAATGATAAGTTAACACATCCTCTACAGAGGACACACCACCGTAGCGTTTGTCTTCTTTTTGTTTGTTGCCTTGCGGTGATGGTTTCTCTATCATGTTAACGCTCATCTCTTCTGTTCTCTGAGTATCTCATAGTTTTGGTCTACATTATTTTGCTGTCCAGGATGCCTCAGCTTTATTCACTTCTGTTTACATCACAAACTACAATGTATATGCAATATATGTGATGTTTTAATATATATGTGCTGAATATATTTAACTGCGTGCGTTTTTGAATATTTAAATATATGCCAAAGCAGACTGATGCACACTGGAGACATCCAGCCTGCTCTTGTGCTCCTACATTACAGGAACTGATTCCTTCAGCCTCTTCTGTTCTTTACCTGAACCAGGTACTCAGGGACCTGCTTGCTGTTTTCAGAGACCCGGATGGGGGGGATGATCCAGTCCCTCTTCACCCTGCCCAAACCTGGACTCTTCTGCTGCCACGGATACAGCACAGCAGGGTTCAGGTCATGTTGCCTGGGCTGGGGGCTGCTCAGGACCTGCAGTGCATAAGGACATTTATATGGACCGGTCAGAGTCTTTATACTAGATCTACTATACATGCATATACAACCCTCAAGCTGGGACAGTCTAGAGAAAATGCAAATAAAAACAGAAAGCAGTTATTAATAAACTCACTTTGACCTGTATTTAAATGAAATCAGTACAAAGACAAGATATTTAATGCTGAACTTATAAAAGGTATAAAAGGTGCATCCAGAAATGACCTTTGATCTCTCTTCCCTTCCATGATGGGTTTGAGAACTCTTTGACAAACTGGTGTCAATAAACAAAGTTTCGTTGCTCCATCCACAAATGCAAGATATGTCAACAACATCTAGAAACGCTGCCGACTTCTCTGGGCTCGAACTCATCTGAAATGGTCTGATGCACAGTGAAAACGTGTATTGTGATCTGATGTGTCAATCTTCCATATTAACATTATTAAAATCCCAGGCTTATTACATACTAAGGCGTATTATTCGGTCACTACAGGGACTTCAGTGCAAACTGGCTGAACTATTCTTAGGTTATAAAAGTGTGTCATAAACTTTGGGCCCACCAGTGGGTTAATGGAAATAATGGACATGTGCTCTCCAGGCCAAAGAAGTAAGGACCATCCAGTCTGTTACCAGTGTAAAGTTCAAAAGCCAGTGTCCGTCATGGTATGGAGGTGTATTACTGCCTGTCTGTAAAGGCACTATCAACTCTGAAAAATAAATGTATGTAATATTTTTAGACGACATCTTTTTCAGGGATGTCTATGCTTATTTCAACATGACAACAGGCCACGTTCTGTGTGTATTACAACAGCATTGCTGTGTAATTAGAGACTGCAGCTGCTAGACTGGCCTGCAGTCCAGATCTGTCTCATAATGAAAACCTGTGGTGCATTACAAAGCACAAAATATGACAAAGGGTCCAGTGCGGTTGCGTAGCTAAAGATCTGGATAATGGAAGAATGAGAATGGAGAATGGAAGAATTTCTAAACTGGATCCGTTTGTATCTTCAGCCCCTAAAGGTTTATTAAGTGCTGTTAAAAGGAAAGATGATGTAAAACAGTGGTAAACATTCTCCTGTCTCATTTGCCTTCAAATTTGAAATGAGCGTATATTTGAGCTTATAAGGGAAAACATCAAATGTTGTGTGTTTATACTGTTGTCAATTTAGTAAGTGAAACTGAATTCACTAATGATTTCTGTTTTTATTAGCATTTTACATACTGTCCCAGCTTTTTGGGAGCTGAGGGTTTCCCTGAAAGACTAATACAAGAGACACAGAAATGCTAACAAAATCTGGTTCCATTGACTTACATTAAAAATAAAGTAGGTTTTGTCCTTCTCCTGTAAAGATACCATTTTGGAGATATGAGGTTTTCTTCCGACAACAGCGATATATATATATATATATATATATATATATATATATATATATATATGGAAAGGATATATATCACAAATGGAAATATATTATAAATGACACATATTTTGAAAAATACATGGAAATATATTTCCTTACTTCCTTTCCATATGGTCATTTAGAATGTGTATGACAGCCATGTGAATCACACAGACGGTGCAGAGTTATGATCACTGAATGTCCATTTCTGCCTCTTTTCAGAGCAAATTCACTGCAGAAATATGAATGCTGGATACATTTAATAGGAAATCCTTAAGAGACTAAAGTACTGCATTGTTCTGAATGCCAGTAATAAGCTGCAGCTGGCTGTGGTAAAGAGCAGCAGCACTTCCTGCGGCTCCGCACTGCTGTTAATGTCAAATCCAGCGCACTTGTATCTATGCAGTCACATATATTTCCTCCCAGCCACCCACACACACATTCACACACACACACACGTGCACGCTCGGCACACTTGGCACAGCTGTCTCCTGCAGGAATGAGCTCAGTTTTCTCCGCCCACGGCCTGCCACTCTATTCTGTCCCACACTGCACCTGACGGAGTTCACAGGTCAAACTCTGAATCAACTACACACGACAGAACACTGCACACAAACACACTCACGCCCCCCCACAGCGCGGACCACCTTCATACCTGTAGAGAATGTAGAGCAAACAGAACCGTACAGTTACGTACAACACGGCTGTCATATCATTTCGCTTTTTTTCAGAAAATAATTAAATAAAATGAATAATGACATAAGTTCTCCTACAAACACCAAAACTGTGTGATCGTCAGACAGTTTCTAGAATGTCCTGTCCATCCATGCTGTTCTAGAATGTTCTCCCATTCATACTATTCTAGAATTAATTCTCCTTGATGCTGGTCTACAATGATCTCTCCATCCACACTGTTCTAGAAAATACTTCCCATCCACACTGTTCTAGAATGTTCTCCCATTCCCCACTGTCCTAGCATGTTCTCCCCATCCATACTATTCTAGACTGAATTCCCCTTTATACTTTTCCGCAATGACCTCCCCATCCACACTGTTCTAGAATATTCCTCCCATCCACACTGTTCTAGAAAATCCTCCCCAGCCAGACTGTTACAGAATGTTCTTCCATTCCCCACTGTCCTAGAATGTTCTCCCCTTCTATACCATTCTAGAATGAATTCCCCTTTCTACTGTTCCACAATGACCTCCCCATCCACACTGTTCTAGAATATTCTTCCCATCCACACTGTTCTAGAATGTTCTCCTTTCCACACTGTCCAAGAATGTTCTCTCCATCCTCACTGTCCTAGAATGTTCTCATCCTATTCTAGAATGAATTCCCAATTTTCACTGTTCTAGAATGTTCTTTCATGTTCACGTTGTTCTCGAACGTTCTTCTGTGTTCACACTGTTCTATGTTCTCCCATGTTCACACTGTTTTAGAATGTTCACCCCGTTCTAGACTGTTCTCACCCTTTTCACACTTGGCCTGTTAGCTCTTATAACAGTACAAAGGCGACTGCCAACGCTAGAACGTTGGTGTTTTTTGAGAATGATGGGTCAGAGAGTCATGATCTTATAATCTGACAAATTAAACAAACGCAAATATAGTACATACAACCATAATTACTCAGACTTCACAAAGACAGTGGGTCTTATAACTGCGTTTATCTTATAGCTGATATCAAGCATTATTATTATGGACCTGTCTGAGGCTGTTGGTCTAAAATCCAGCTGGATTTAGGAATTCTGTCCTAATTCTTGTCCCATCCGAAAGGAATAAATAACAGTTGTGTCTGTGCTAGCTGACTGATTTGTTTGTAGGGCTGGAGGTGCCTGCTGACACTATGGCATGCTATACAGCAGCCGCTGCAGAATGACAGTCATGTCAGACACTTGCAGACTAATCTTAGCCCGGCCTGCATTCCTCCATACTGCTGCACTCACTACTCTATCGCTCGTGTACACCCACCTACACCAAGCTCGGCTTCTGAGTCTCTCCAGAGCCATATTCAGTGACAAATGTTTGATTGAAGGTTAATATAAATAGATACACACCTTAATATTCAACCTGCAGAGAGATGGATGAGGCACGGTTTTTGTGTTGTTTTGCTCTAAATCTCTAATGATTAACAACCATAAATATCTAAAAACTTCATGTCTTCATGTAAAATAATGAATATATACATTTCTAATAAATTAATATTTATTCTCTAGATACATTTTGTAGCAGTGACTAGATGATGTCCATGTTTGGGGATGAGGCCCAACGTTGGTGGCACTCAGTGGAGGCCCACTGATGACTTTAGCAGGACAGCACTTCGTTACTTTGCAGTCTTATCAATTAGCCATGCCGTCCTGAAGGCCTGGTAAGGGCCCACACTTGCTCACTTCCTTCAAAGTTTAGTGCTTTGGAGACCATGTTTCTCAGATAGTTTGCTGCTTGTGGTCTGACCCTATGACCAGCAGCAGTGTTTGAACAGTTGTGGTGGGGGAGGGGGGGTGGTATTCTGGGAGGATTTAAACTCTAATATTTAGCAGGTAGTTGTGTTTGCCTGTTTAATGTTCTTCCAGTGTTCACTGCACTGGATTTATATACACAATTCACCACTACATCGTATTTATCTTGGAATCTTTTTGGCCGTGCTACAATGCTGGAATCGTTCACTAGGGAGGTAATTGGCTCACTGTAAGGCAGTGGGGAAGGACTAATGATTTATAGGAGCATGTTTGTAATTTTAGTTCATTTCTTTAACAGTGTCGTAGTACTAGTATTGTAGTACTACTCTCATTTCATTGCCAAATTTTAGTTGGAAACAAAAGGGTTAAATTCTTGAAAGACTTAAAGGTAGATTGTCCAATTAAGACTTTTTTCACTGCATTATCTAAGTAGATACAGCCAAGTAAGCTCTCCTATTGGTAAGGCCTTCAGGAGGTAGACAGAAGGCCTAATGTGTCAGATTAGCCATCAAAATTGGAATCAACCAATAACATTTTTGATTTTATTACATTACCCTAGGCATCAGGGACATCATGCCCATTCAAGCTGGAGGGCATATGCCCCACCAGATTTTTGTTATTTGTATTTTTTATGTATTTATTTCATTTTATCACAATTTTTCATAATATGTGGTTATGGTCATTTTATGTTATGAGTCAAACATATTCTTTTAATTATGTTATATATACCTCAAAAAGTCAAAAATCTTATGGTGGTAAGAAGTCTCATCCGTGCCCCTGCTGCTTCCTCTGCCTTGTGTTAAAATACAGCTGTTACCATGTTAGCAGGTTCCTTTTATCACTGGCTTTATTATATATATTCTCTAAATTAATTTGGATTGTAGATATAGTCTTTTATGTGAATTTATGCCCCTTTCTGGGTGAAGCAGACAAGATTTAGCTCTTTTTCAATAAAGGTGGCAGCAGTGTAAGCTAGAGTAGAAGTGAGCGTCATTTTTAAGCATAACAGTTCAAATAACTGACATGAAAATCTCTAAATAAATATATAACATTTCCCCTAATAAAAAGTGGGAGATTACCGAGGTACAAAAACTGATTTAGTAAAGTTTTAAAATAATCGCGCCAAATTCAAAGTCAAAAT